GGGGGGGGGCGCGGCCCGGCCTTTTAAACCGCACGTTCCGGCCCCGGGTGGGCGCAGCGCGCCGTGGAAACCAAGGCGGGGGGTCCCCAAAGTTGGGCAGGGACGTGGGTGGGGGTCCAGCGCCGCGAAAGCGACCCTAGTGGGTCGGAGTTGGGGTGGTTTGCTCTGCGCCCCCCTCGGAGACCCCACCCGCGACCGTATTGCACGGTGGCGCGCGGGGGCGATCGGGGGTCGCGAGTGCGCGCTCCCCCCTCCCCAGCGGAAGGAAATGGTCTCTTAACGCGCGCGCGGGGGGCTGCGCTCCGGCTTCTCATTTCATTTAGTTCTCCCCGGAATCGGGTGTTTTATTCGAGAGCCCCGAGGGGACTGAGTGGGAGCGCCGGGTGGGGAGGGCCGTTCCCTGGAGACCCTCCCCAGCCTGGACGGTTTATTTATAAAGTGTCGGCTCCCGGGCAGAAAGGGGCCCCTGGAGGGGACAGCACGGTCCCCGCGCCCGGGGGGTGGGTTGGGCCCGGGCCCCCGGCTCTCTGGCGGGGATCCCCCCGGGAAGAGCCCGCCCCCCCCCCCCCCCCAGTTCAGTGCCCCCCAGACAGAAAAGCGGGCGCAGGAAGCCCGGGGCGCGCGCGTTTGTCAATCCAACGTTCGGCGTCCGACCCCAGGCGGCGGGTTTGCCAATAATGTTCCGTTTTTAGTCGCCCGGGCCGGAGGGGTTGCCCCCCCTACCCATGCAAATCGGCCGCTTTCCAAGAAGCCTTTGAAATCCGGACTGGGGTTTTTGTCGTCTTATTTCTTCTTCTTCAGTTTTTCTCGTCTCACTTCCTCCGGGGGGGGCCGGGCGCCCCCCTCCTGACTCTCCGAGCCCCCTCCCCAGCTCCCTGCCCCACCCTCCCCCTCTCCTCCCCCGGCGGAGTGAGGGGCCCCTTTCGCCACCCGCGGGCCCCAGGCTTGCACAACTCTTTAAATAACTGTGTTTTGCAAGGCCCGGCCCGAGCGGGTGACCTCTCTCTCCGGGAGGCATGGGGGAGCAGGAGGGTGTGGCCCGGGATCCCTCCCCGCCCCCCCAGCCAGGTCCCAGCGACCACCCAGCGGCCCCCCATCCCCGCCCGGTCCCCGCCTGGGAATGCCTGTCCTCTGGGGTTGTCATAAAGTGGGGGTAGGGGCCGAGGACAAAGGGCTCTTGGGGGGAGGGGTCTGGAGGGGGTGGGCGGCACCAGCTTAGGGTTAATGGCGGCCACGGGGGGCCCCGGCCCGGCCCAGGGGGGCCCTGGGGTTCCCACCTGCCCCCTCCACCAGCCCCAGCGTGCAGACCTGCCCTGCTCCCCTCCCCCACCCGGCGACCCGGAAGGGTCATTAAACCCAGCAGGCCTGGAGGGGGGGCGGCGTGGGGGGGAGTGGCTTCCTCTGGCCTCTTCCTTCTGCCCCCCAAAGAGGGGGGGCGTTGCCTGCAGCGTTTCCGTGGGGAGGGGGGGCTCGTCTTGAAGTTGTCAAAGGTGGGGGAGGGGCGCTGGACCCCGCGAGACGCTGGGCGAGAAATGTCCCCTCAGCACTTCTTGGGGCTGGTAGGGGGATGACCGCCCGTCCCTGGGGTGGGGGGCTGGGTGCCGCTGTGCTGCCTCTGGGGACGGGCGTCTGCTGGTCACTCTCCAGTCCCGTGGCCTCTGAGAGGGTCTTTGTGTCCTGGAAACCCTCCGCTGCTGGACACCCACATCCTTTGGGGACGTGGCCCTCCCCCTTGCCCACAGGGCCCCCCATTCACCCCCCCACCGCCGGTTACCCTCCTGCTGGGAGCCCAGGGGGTCTGGGTGAAGGGGGTCCGGTCCGAAGGCCACGGAGCTCCCTGTGGGTCTGCAGGGCCCCTCCCTGACTGGCCAGGCTGGGGGGTCTACACTGTAAGACTCCCCTGGGTGGGGTCAGGCTGCTCTCACAGGCCACCAGAGGGCTTGGGAGGGCAGCCAGCCTGGTGTCTGAGCATCGACCAGCTACGGGGAGGCTCTGCCGCCCGGCTGGCCCTTCCTGAGCGTGGCCCGTCTGCCCCAGGAGTGGCTTGTGAGCCTTTTGGGTCCATTTGCTGGGTTAGGGGTGGCCTCCTGGGTCCTTCTGCCCCCTCACTGTCCCCATGGTGTGCCATCTGGGGTGTCACCGCCGGGCCTGTTGGGTTCTGCCCAGTCTGTTTTATTGGCGGCCTGGGCGGGCGGGGGTGTGCCCTGGGTTAGGGTGGGGGGCTGGGGCGGGACCCGCGTCCTCCGGTCCCGGTGGTGCCCGGCTGGGCCAGGTTCTGGGGCGTCCCTGCCTGGAGTCTACCTGAGGCCCTGGCAATTAGGATGGGTGGTGGTCCAAGGGGACCCCAGGCTGGGGGCAGAGTGCCTGACATTCTGGGAGGTTGGCCCCACTTAGGGTTCCAAAGGGCAGGGGGATGCCCCCTGCAGAGAGCACAGGGGGCGGGGGGCTGTGGGGGAGGCTCCCAGGCCACCCAGAGGTGGGTTCAAACCCCTGCCTGGCATGTGTCCTCCAGCAGGACACCTCCGAGCCTCACTTCCTCATCTGTAGAATGGGGACCCTCTGGTGCCTCCCTTCCTAACTGCCGTGGTGCCTGCCGTGCGCCCCCCTTAGTCGTCACCGACTTGTGTCATCCGTGCTGAGCACAGAGAGGTGAGCGCCGTCAGGGCACCGTTTTGCAGACGGGGCAACCAAGGCCCAGAGAGGTTGAGGTTCGGGGATGAACACAAGTGGGGAAGGTTTGGTTCAGGGCCCGTATACAGCAAGTGCTCAATCTGAGTCAGCCATTGTCTCTGTGAGCCTCAGAGGAAGGAGGGTGCCTGGAGCCCCCCTGGACCAGGCTGCCCCAGCATTGGCATGAGCAGCCCGTAGAACTCGGAACCAGAACCCAGAAGCCCCCCAGATTCTAGTGCCCGGTAGCTGGCCCGCCACTCAGAGGCCAGGAAGGCCCTGTCCCCCCTGCTCTGTTTATGAGGCAGTAATCCAGGGAGCTGTAGTCGGTGACGGTGTGTTTCTCTGTGGCCCAGACGGGTGCGGGCCGCCTCGAGACCCTCAGGGAGTTCGGTGCGGGGTGACCCCACTTCCCAGCCTGCTGGAGGGCGGGCAGAGGGGGACAGATGGGGAGGGCTCACTCCTCCGCCTCCAGGAAGGTCTCCAGGTTTGAGCCTTGTTGGGACCATTGGGGAGGGATTTTCCCAGAGGCCTTTGCGGTTGACGTCCGAGGGAAGATGGGGCCGAGGAGCCCAGGTGGGGTCTGACGGTCTCTCTTGCCGCCCCCAGGTTTCCGCGAACACGTGAATGAGCCGGATGCCAGCCGCTGCTCCCCGGCGCCCAGCCTGAGAAGGAGGCGCTGCCC